ACAGGAACTTTTTGTCTGCCTTCAAGATGAAACTTAGGTGAACACCGTTTCTCGACATGCCCGATCCGAATATCGCGGTCTCCCGGCTTGAATCGTTGCGAGGAAAAAGCAGGTAGTTTTCATATGACATTTTCTATTGGAATGTCCACGATACCAGCTGCTGTGGAATACTTTTAATAAAGACTGGTCTGCTCTAGCTCCGAATGCTTCCTTCTTTCAAATACTCTGTTTCTGCAAAAAATTGATAACCTTGATTGTTCTCAACTGTGTAATCTACATCGACTTGTCACAAACTATGTTAAAAATACTAAACAATTTTAGATAACCAAATGTACCTTGTTCTATATCTTTCTTCTCTCAGGACTGTTGTGTTCTGTATCTTTTTTCTTTTGCTTAAAAACATTATTGTCTTCCTCGTGTGTTTTTATCAAACAGTATAGAGATCTTTGCAGTTTTCTTCATGTTATAAACAGTCAGAATGATGTAATGGGTTCGCCTCTTGCTTTTTACTGTTTATTATACCATTATATATTCTCTCTTTTTCTTTTTTTTTCCTTTTAATAAAGCTTATACCAACATCGCGTTTATCCTTTCCTTTCTGTTCTTCGCGGAGTGCCATATCATCGTACATATGATGCGTTGGTAATTTCCACAATCCCAACGAAATACAACTGGGATTTATAAATGGAGGGATCGTCATATGATAGAGCGAAATCCTTCTAAAGTCAGTTCTGTACCCTTCACGCTAATCTCTATCCATTAGGTACTGTAGTATTGAATCATTCATGGCGTAAAGACAATATTTTCCGCAGTGAGTCATCGTTCTCACTTGGTTTATTTACTTTACTTGACCTCATCGTGTGCAGATCATATTCTGGCAAAGAAAAATCAGGAAAATGCTAGACGAAAAGACTATCACAGTCGTTCGAACGTTCACTCTTGTGTCATCAATAAGGAAAAATATACTTGCGCAACATTTTTCCAACTGCTAGTAATAGGCCATCTTTGGAATAATCCGTAGATTTTCACGAATAAATAGAAACTCACGTCTCTTGATCAAGGAGTCTACGTTTAATTGTTGAGCTCGTGTAGCTGTTGATTGCATTCTGTTTGATTGATTTTAGGTCTAAACTCAATTTGGACAATCGTATTCTCGTCAAGTGCTTATTACGAGCCTGAGACATAAAAGTCCCTGATCACGTTCAACGAGATATTAACTCAATCATCGATGATATTGGAACTCGTCTGTCAGCAGAGCGTCGGGAAGCTTTGCGGCAAACCTTTCTCCGCAGTATTGATGAACTTTTTGAAGAACCGAAATCATGGCGATCATTTCTTCCTAAGGTCTTGACGTCTCAAGAAAATATATCACCATCGATTAGTTCATCTGTGCTGCGTGGACGTGAAGGCAAATGGCGCAGTTCTGGCACTACGTGGGAACAATTCCATTGTGAACCAGGTACTATTGCGCAGTGTTTGGAGAACGCGAAATTAGAAGTGGCGAAGAGGGCAGCGAAAATTATTGATGTCATGCGCCGATTCTTCAAGCGAAAAGAGCCTACTGAACCCAACGCTACGAATCCTACGCCATGCGATGATAATGCCAAATCCGATTCGGACAAATTCAAACTCATAGAAGATCCGATCCCCGCTGATGCGTCAACACAATCAGACAACAATAAGAGAACTCATGCGAATGCATATGTCAGGCCTGCCACTGCCAGTGTTGCCCAAGCTAGCGTAGAAGCTGCTACTACGAATACGTCGGCAAGCGCTGTTGGTGACAGTGCTAGTGTTTGCAATGCCAATGCGCGAGTCGCCACAGCAAGTGCTCATGCAGCAACTACCGCTGCCTCCGCTAATATTGCCAATGTATCGGCTCAGGCTTTGTCAGCTAATACTTCGGTTTCTGCAAGTGGAGCCACAGTGAATGCTGGCAATACATCAGCTAAATTCGCCACTGCTGATGCGCATGCCGGTGTTCATGGAGTCGAAGTCAACGTTGGAAATGTCAGCGCCAATGGTTGTACAGCGAGCGCTTCAGCAGACATCGGACTTACTGTATCCGCTTTCAATGCAAGCTTTAGTCCTTTCAGTGTTCATGTCGATGGTAATCCGTTTCATATCTCTTTTGGCAACGTTGGCTTTGGAGGAATTACTATCGGTTGGCCAAATCCACTGAATTTGTTCAATCTAGGAACTGGTGGTGGTGGTGGCGGCGGCGGCGGCGGCGCTGGTAGTGAGGGTACCAACCAAGGTGACATCGCTTCGACTGGAAATGGTAACCCTCCGTCAGGTATGTTTGATCTCCAATTCTCTTTTGAATCAACTCGAATTCGTTCGGACTATTAACATCTCATCTAATTCAAACGGCTCTCTTTTTTGTACAGGCGCGAATGGACATTGCGAGAGTTCTGGTCATTCAAATTCGAATCTTGTTTCGCAAGGATCGAGCCAAGCCACAGCGAACACCGGCAGCCCGCCTGGAAATTTCATCCAGCAAGTCGTTTCAGCGGTGGGAACATGCGAAAGTAAACTTTCTGATCGTATGCCTAATTGGCATTACAGTGGAAACGGAAACGTTTATCGCAATGGAGAATTAATCAAGACTAAGAATATTAAGCGGTACAAACAACCAAAAAATGCCCCTTACAAACACGTAGAACGTAATTCCGTTCCCGGTGCTGACGGAGACAGTAATCTTGATCCTATTGGTGTTCCGGGTAGTCGAGGTGAAGCACGGCAAGTGTTGGAAACACATTTTCCGGGAGAAGTCAATCGAGAATATCATGATACGGATAGTTGTAACATTTGGCTCATGACTATGGCCAATCAACTGCAAGATATACACCATGTCACTGGAATTAATAGTGATAATCTTGGACAAAATCTTCCAGTTCTTCTCCCACCATCAGATCACGTCCTTCTGGTTAGTATGAAAAGTCATGGCGACCATCATTTTGCGGTAACAGGTCATGGTGATCAAGTAATGATCACACATGCTTGGCAAGGTGATCATCAACTTCGCAACGAACCTTTAATGCATCGAGATCAATTTGTCAACCAAATGCAAACATTGATGAATCCAAACACCACGCCTAAAAATCGTCGAGCAGCCAGTCATGCGTTATTTCGCGCGCCTGAGCACGAGTCTTTTGGAGTTGATATTCCTGCACAGTTCAGCAGTATGTTCCGGGGACGATTAGGACCTCCTTTAGTAGCACATACCAATACCAATCGGAGTGCTCCTGGATTGCAACAAACACCTGATCCATCTATTCAAGCTCGACGTCCGGTAATCCTACCCAGTTCCCGAGAACTTTCTAACCGTCAAACGAATGAAGCAGAGCCTGCTGATCCTGAAGTGACGGGCTTGGTGAGAGAATATTTCACAGAAATCCGTGGTGTCGATGAAACGGACTATCAAGACGCGCTGACATTCGCCACATCTCCACAAGGTATTGCTGAACAACAGAAGGAAGATGATCAACCAAGAGAACTATGTCGCTATTGCGCTCCGAAAGGTCGTCCATGTTGTTTAACTTGTTTCCTCGGTCGCTCGGGGAGGAAAATTGTTCCGTTGGGCTCTGGCGGCAACGTTTACGGATTTTCCAGTTAAACGATTTTTTTTTCTTTTTCTCGTTGATGATTTATTCGATTGTTTGCCTTTCGCACAATAAAGATTGAGAGTTGTTACGATTGAGTCCTTGACTTCTTTACCCATTTGGAGAGTCTTGAATTTATGTAACATTAGATTGTAATCATGTCTGATGATGGACCCTTAACTCTTTCCAGCCGGATGTTGCCAAAAGGCAACATTTTGTCAAAAATATGTCAACATCTTACTTCAAGTAACGACCTGTGGTTCTTTTGATAATTCGATAATTAACATGAGACATTTGAGCTCAAATTCATGCATTTTACAGGGCAAGGAAACTTCTCCTAGAAGAGAGCGTGGATTTTTCCCGCCATGTATTTAAGACTACGATATAACTTAATTTTTGCTAATTAGTTTATTATGATTGTCTGGGTGCACATAGTCAGATAGCTATGTACACCCGAGTGCACATAGTCGGATAGCTATGTACACCTGGGTGCACATAGCCACTTCCAAAAAATAAAATGTGTTAAAAAACATGTACATGGCCTAAACGTTCACTGGGCACCGAAAAAGTGTGCACTTTTCTAGACGGTCAATCTCAGTGTTTAAAAAACAAATTTTGTTGAAAAATTTATAATTTTTCATTTTTCTCGCGGACTACTGCACCAAAATAATCTCACGTCAGTATATATTTTATACTTACGCCGTGTATTCTCGCCGGTCACTGGAAATAGGTTTGACGTTCACTTTCAATGTGTCATTTACACACTATTTTTACCGGACGTAATTACATCAATTTACATTACTTCTCAAAAATGTTTGCATAGTTGTCTAGACAATTGCCTGCTCTATCCCAGAATGTAAAGCTTTCGTTCATCTCTTAAAAATGGCTAAACACTTTATGAAAAGCGAAAAATTTCCTGTCATAAATAGCAACATTGGCTCCATGGAAATCACCGACTATTCCGCGAATGCCTCTTCCCCGAACCGACTCGTTCGCGAACAGGACCCCGACCCCCGATTCTTCAGCGAATTTTTGTAGATAGATGTTACGAAACCTAAACTTTAGAAAACTAACAAAACAATCGAAATTACTGAACGTACTCCTTAAAAAATATTTTAATATAGCGTCTACTTCAAATACTGGCACATCATATAAGTAAAGCTGAAGCAAATTCACACTACACCAGGCAAACATTTTCTATGTGAAAACTGCTTTTCGAACTCACTCTCACACTGCCTTCACTGCCCCCCCCCCCTTCACACACACTGCCAGAAATACTTAAATTTGTATTATGAAAAATTCGCGGAAGAGTCGGTTCCGGAATAGTCGTGTCACGAAAACCTAGAAATGTTGCACAATGTTTCGAATGAATTACGCACTGTTTTTGTTAACTTAGCAGGACAACTGCTTCATATATATGCTTATCGGTGATTTAGTATCATGGAGTGACATTTAATACTTTATCTCGAAAGAAATTGATATATGAGAGCGTTACATGTGACCAGTCGTCACACATTCTATAACCGCTCTTTTAGGACCCCCGCCCCCTCAGAAAAATACTTTTTTGGCTTACATCCGATTTTAATCAAACTTTCAGCGAATGTTTGCCATATCAAAGTGTGGTTATGAAATCTTTTTTACCTCACTATCTCTTACCGTTCCGGGATTTTCTAGAGTCCAAGGTCAAAAACCCACCCTCCACTGTGGAACACTTTTTTTAAATATACTTCAAGCTGGAGATCTCGGGTTGGTTTTATTTTAAACTAGACACCTAACTGCGTGGACTGATGGGACCAGATTTTTGATTTAGATCTTCGTTTATTTTCTAGAGATCCAAGATCCTCAAAAACCCCTTTCGGATTTTCCAGAGATCCTTGATTTTCTAGAAAAGACCTAATTCAAAATTCGGTTCCCATCAGTGCACGCAGTTAGATGTCTAGTTTAAAATAAAACCAATCCGAGATCTCTAGCTTGAAGTATATTTAAAAAAAGTGTTGCACACTGGGCATGTTCGAACAAAAAACGTGTTTTGAGAGAAAATGCTGTGCATTCGTTGATCTATTTTGTGACATGTAGGAAAATGCTTGTATTTTTTGAACGCAAGACTCAAAACTTTTTTGAACAGTACACTTTTTATCCGGCATTGTAGTACTTCTGAAGTGTTACTTAATCACTTACAAATTGACAGCGAGTTCTAAAAGGATCTTGAAAAAATCCAAGAGTTCCTAACGAGAGCGATTGCGCTTCACGCTGCAACAAAAGTGAAAAGTGGTTAAACACAAGACAGAAGAAAATCGCTGTGAGAATGAATATCGAATGCCGATTTAAAGCTATAGTAGAATTTTGATTTGTATCTGTCGAAGAATGTCGTTTGAGAGAATCGAATCGCTTGGTAGGGGAGAACTGGGTTGATTCTCTTGATCGATGGCTAGAGTGGAATAAATAACACTTGTCAGTCTGCTCAACTATCTCGTAGAACAGTCCTAAAGTCGTATTTTGTAAGTAAAAATCCAACCATTTGTGAAAAATACAATGTTTGTAAGTGGTCTAAAAAGTTAGTAGACATAGCTAGAAATGTAGAAGAGACGACGAGGAATCCGAATCTGGTCTCAAAATCTCCGAGAGAGCTTTCGGTCAGGAGATATAATCAAAACAAGAAAACAAGTCCACATCAATATATGTAAAGAAAGATGGTGTACGTTTGGGGTGCGGGAGAGGTCAAATCTCAAAAATTTTGTTTTCAGAATGTTCCTCGTCATGTAATCTATTGGAATATATGGGTCGTTTTCGTGTAGGAAGGGTGGCAGATTTCGTTACTTATCCGGTGTGATCCTTTGTCGAATGATCCTAGAAATGATGGCGAGCATCTAAAGGGTCCCCTCCCCCTCAGAAATGATGATTTCGAATCAAAAAAATCAGTTTAGAGACAAGCTCACGGAAAGATGGCCTGGAGTGCCTACTTTCACAATCTGTATCATCTTCGGGCCTAGAACTGGTTTTTCGTGGTTTTCGAGGAAGTTTTCTACAAGCCTTGAAAACTAGGGTCTTCAAATAATAATCTTTTTCTGGACTTTTACGCAAGTAAATTTTTCTCTAAGCACGTAGATTTATAGAGCAGACTTTCCTGAAGAACTTTTGCCCCACCTGTTAATATTGTCTTTCCTATTTAATTGCGTTGTTGTTTGGGGATGTGAACAGACATGAGCTTTGCTATCACTGCTAAGCGGCTAGAAGACTTTCTGGTATAGCAGAAGCTGTTTAACTA